ACACACACACACACACACATACATATATATACCTTTGAGATTGGAGTGCAACTTCTTGCCACTAGGCCACCAGAGCTTCCTATATACTTCTTTAATTTATATGAGTTTCTTTTTTTGAAGGAAAAGAACAATGTGTGGGATGTGCCTTAGCAGGGCATTTGGAGTTATTGAAAGTCATCTTCATACCAACTTTTATCTAATTAATGTGATCACAATGAGATAGGCTTCATGAAATCTTAAAAGAATGAGATTTGGGACACATAAGGGAATGAAAAATTAGGAACCCAAGATATGTGGATTAATATCAAAATCACACACACACACACACACACACACACCCAAAAAAAGAGCTAAGCAGTGAGCTGTGTGTCTGGAATAGAATTCAGTCATGAAGTGTGGGCCAGAGAGCTCCTTCCAAATTGCCCATCCTTAGGTCCTCGGAGCTACAGGAAAGCATTACACCACAGGAAGGGCCAGGCAATCAGAAGGAGATTGAGACAGAGACAGCTTACTTGAAGAATTTGCTAAGTAATTGCCATTGTACCATACTTTGTGCACTGTGTTGAGACTTTTGCACATTATGAGAACATCATTTATAATACATGGAGAAAGAGGTAAAATATCCCAAAAGAAGAGAAAGAAGAAGAATCAGGAACTCATTTTCAGGCTCAGACTTTTCAAGCGGGTCTCCTTGCTTCACAGATGTTGGCTGTAGAATTTTGGTTAGTGAAGTGGAAGACAATGTGGGTGTGGAGTGGGGAGGAGGGAGCCACATGGGGGAGATTTATGGTGGTATATTCACTGGCACAAAACTGTTGGGCTATAGGCACCATGTTGAACACCAGGGGCTCAGACATAAGTAAAAGAGATGTAGTCCCTGCTTTCTTAAGGTTAAGCTGAAGGCACAGCGGATGATTTTTCATAAGGAGCTTCTTCAAAGAAGCAAAGATAGTAGGCTGTATGGTGGTAAGAAGCTTCACTACAATCCCAAAAGTATGCAGTTCAAATCCACCAGTTGGTCTGTGGAAGAAAGATGGAGAATTTTCTCCTCTGCAATTAACTACCTCTGAAAAACCACTGAAGGGTCAGCTATGAGTTGATTCCAGCTTGACAGCACACAACAGCAAAAAGATGTCTGAAAGACTCTTGGAGTTAATAATGTAACAGGAAGTTACCTGAGGAAGCCTTCACAGCATATGGCTTCTGAGCCCCAGAGGTGTGCAAATCCTCTAATGAGAACTGGAATCTGTACCTAGGACATGACCCTGGGGCAGCCATCATGCAGAGCTCACCCTACAACTGCCTGCTTCTTATCCTTTTCCTCTGCTTTCAGATCAAAGCCGGTGGGACTCCTCCAGTCCGGCTCTGTGGTCACCAGGGCTCCCAGCTGGGCAGCCTACCTGGCCAGAGGGAGTTTGTGTCCTCAGGAAAGAGGTTGCAGCTGACCTTCCGCACTGATGTCTCTTTGGAGGATAGAACCACCCATCTGCACAAGGGCTTTCTCGCCCTCTACCAAGCTGTGGGTGAGTGTCCTTCCTGAGGGTTGTACCATGAGGGCAATATCTTCTTCCAGCCACGGTCCCAGGATAACTTCAAAAGGGAGTTTGATTGATAATAGGCTAGAGGCTTAGGAACTCCTGGGCTGGACCTCATCCCTGTCCAGCTCTGATCCATTAAAGGGACACCACTGCTCAGCTCCAGCAGGTTAATTCCAAACAACACTGGAAAAAAGCCAGGTGTATTAGAAACCATTTAATTTCCAAGAATATTAAAACTCAAATGTATTGCCATCAAGTCAGAACTGACTCATAGCTGACCCTCCACCTCATTTACAGAGAGCTGTAAATTGTACAGGAGATGTAGCCAGTGGATTCAAGCACCAGAGAGGTGCCACCTTTGGGTTGGCAGTGCAGCTCTCTGCAGATGATGCTTTCAGAGTTCTGTCCTTTTCCAAGAGGAGCCAAAAATCTAGATTTTAAAAGTGAAATTCCAGGAAACAGTGGGCCACTGTCTCCACCTCCGGAGTGGTGGGTAGGTCTTCCTGTAGGATGTCTGCTTATTGGACATTAAAACCTGTCCTTGAGTGCTGTGCTGTGTGTGATAGTCTGATGGGTTCCCCAGCAGTAGTGCATGTCTGCTCATCTTTCATTTGCTTTTTGCCCCATTAAATGCTGTGAGATGCTGCAATTATCCTTCTTCTTCTCTCTCATTTAACTGTATAATCTGACTGAAATTTTTTTTCTTAAGGATAATACACTTGCATGGTTCATATTTCTAAACAAAATGACAATATTAAAAAAATTTTAAAAACCTTTCTCTAATCTTTGACTCTTAGACTCTTGGTACTCTGTCCAAAAATAACCCAATCTCCAATCCCTGAGTATTCTTCAAAAGCTATTTTGTGTCATACAAGCATAAATATTGTATGTGTTGTGTATTATGCACAGTGTTAACCTTGACACTTTTTCCGCCCAACTATGTATCTTAGAGATCATTCCCTGTGAGTATAGTTAGCATGGGCTTGTTCTTTTTAACGATTATATAATATTCCTTCGAGTGATGTGTCAATGTGTTCAATTAGTCCCCTACTGATAGATGTTACAAACACTATTGTTGCAGATATCTTTGTATATGCTTTTTTGTCTTTTAAAAAGAACTTTTCCAGTGATTAGCATAAAAGTTTATAAAGCAATTTGGTTTTCTATCCAGCAATTCACACACATTCTGTTTTATGATACTTATATTTCTCACACGTAACAGCACTCTTCTCACATTCCTCTGTTTCCTATTTCCATTTCTATCCCTTCTTTCCTATCCCTTCCTGCTTTCTGAACTTTCCCCCTGGGAATGTGTTGCCCTCTTGATCTTGTATGTTGATTATTCTAAGGAATGTGTTCCTCTTCAGTGTTAGTGATCATCTACCTGATTGGAAGTTGGTTTACGGAGGCACATTCAGTTCCAGACTTGAAGGGTCACTAAGTGTCATAGTCTAGAGGGGATCCACTAGTCTCAGAACAGCAAGTCTGGTATTTTTTT